CTTTTCTGTCTTTTCTTTTTTTTGTACTACTCTTTTTTTTGTATCTTAGATATATATAAGTCATTGAGAGGAGATGTGCATGTAAATGGGTGTGTTTTTTTTTTCTTTTCTTAAATTTTATTTCTCTTTCTATGCAATTATGTTTCTTGTTTTCATTCATGAAATTGTTTTAATTCCTTAGCTTTTTTGGAGTCTCACCTAATATCTTTCAACAATTCTTATTAATTGCGTTGATGCATCAATGATTAGTGTTAATGACTGCCTAGCACCTAGAGTGTTATAATTAATTTGATTTTAAACATTAGTTTACGGTTAAGATTTACCATAGAGGTGCCAAAATGATCTATGACGTCCAACCATGACGACAACTTAACCCGTCATCATGGATGTATCACTTCATAAATGAACCGTCATATATGATAGAATTCTATGACGATTTCTTAAAAGGTCACATGTGAACCGTCATGTATAAGGGTATTTCTTGTAGTGATTCATTAGTTATATTTTCATAGTATATCTATTTAATGTCATAAATCTTTATAACTTTCTATATAATTTTGATCAAACTTGACATGCAAACTCTCCGAAAAATTTAGAATAACTTATAATTTGAATGAGAGAGTAGAATATTGCTGCTCTTATGAAAAAAAATTACTAGTTCATATACTATCTAAGTTTTTTACATTGTCCAAAGGTAAAATTAAAGCATGCCCACGTACCAAACCAACCAACTTATATACCTAGTCCTTAATTGATTGATATGGCTCCTCGCGCGCAGTTAATGACCCGGATTCCTATACGAATACACCCGTTCGCTCGCTTGTCTTAAAAAATACATACTCGTACTGCACATAACGAAAGATGATGGTACCAAATTTGGGGCCTATCGATCGATGGTCCTGGATCGAGGTCCTCCCCCTAGTTACTCTTGTGTAAATCGATGAGGTAGCGTGGTCCATGCATGGAGAGCTTCTCCGTCTTTCGATCGGCGGGAGGCTCGCTTGCTCGTGCTCGGGCTCGGCTGATTCCTTTTTTTCATGCACAGCACAGCACAGCACAGGCAGGACTCAGGAGATCGATCGACGACGCCAATACGGCTGCCAGCTCCAACTTGTATATACTCGGCGAGGCGAGTACTCGACAGGTGTACCACCGGTACAGTTTACTTTAATCTCGCGCGTGATTGGTCGTCCGGGCAGGTACGTACGTAGTGTGGGCACCACGCTAGGTAGCTCAGCGCATGGTCCGCTCGAGCTGTACGTATACCACGCACGCCGGCCGGCACCTGCCTGCCGCACAGATCAGTACAGCTACTACTACTACTGTACAATCTCCATGCACGAGACGACGCACCGTACGCACGCCGCGGAGCGCAGAGCGCCCCATCGTTGAGGCCACCACCACCGGTCGGCGTCGGTCATTGCGGCCGGCCGGACGCGGTGAGTGCCGTGAATTTTTTGGGAGTTGCATGCGGCGACAGCACAGTGCAGCGCAGCTAGCGCTGAGTGATCATGTCAGGTGTGCCAGTGCCACTCCTATATCTATCTACTCCATGCAACTTGCAATTGGGGCTGGGTGGTGGATGGCCCATCCCAGGGGATGGGATTCACCGATTCAGATCAGGGTGAGCCGGCCGGTGAGGACAGGGCAACGCACGTAGCGCATCTGAAAGATTCAGCGGCTGCCTGCTAGCCAACAGGCAACCAACACCGCACCCATGCATGCCTGCATCAATCATACGTGCGTGTGTGTGATTTAACACCGCATGCCCGGCCGGAGAGTCACTGCTGCCTCACTAGTATTGAGCAAAATGACACCTTTTGCCCCAAAGTCAATACAGACGTCAAGGATAGTAGCTGGTGTACATCGTGTGTGGCCCACCGATCGTGCCCTGGATCAAAAGACGAACCATGGGCCAGCGCACCGGCCCATGCGTACGTTGTCTACCTTTATAGCCCAACCTAGGAAGGTCACGCTGTTCTCAAGGGAGCCCATGATTGTAGCCGCTTCCCGCCGTCGCCGCGCACGTCGCCCCGAGACTAGGCTGTGCGATCGGCGGAGGCGGGACGGCCCGTTAGCTCCCACCGACCTGAGGAACGGAATCACCCACCCGGCCATTCCTCGGAGGCCACCCTTGTTACGTCGTCGCGCTGTCTCTCGTGTTCCGGTACCCGTGTGCCCTGCACCGCCAGTGCGCGTACGATGGCAAGGAGTGGCTGCACACTTTTTGTTTGGGTGGATGTATTCCCTCCCTAAGATCAGCCTGTATACTCTGCCCGGCCGTTTCACCGACTGAACCAAACCATCCGTTCAGATCCGATGATGCTTGGACTCTACCTCAGTGGTTCAGCAGCTGTGCTGCCTGTGGAGTACAAGAAATCTATTTCTACTGCCTGTCGAAGGTATAGCCAGGCAACGTGGCAACAAGCCCTCTCTAGTCTAGAACGTACGTAGTAGTATCATACCATACTCTTTTCTGTCTGAGGAATGACAGTTGCTTCCGGTGCTGAATTCCGAACCACTCCTGCATGCACACTCACGAACGCCGAGCAAACGATTGCTTGCAAGGCTCCCCCGGCCGTCCTGGTTCTGGGCTCTTGTTGTTCAGTTAGTTACCCAATCTAGGGAGGCACGAGCACGACGGGACAGAGATTGATATGTGCAAACAACTTCCACCACCAACGTTTCCTGCGAGGACCCACGCCACGCAGTCACGCAGATAGGAGTACATTTACAAGACACCCGTCGGTATGTCAGGACGGATATTCCATTTCCTTCGGTAGGTACGACGAACGAAAGGGAGGTTTTCCCTGCACAACGGCGCGCCGGCGACACCGCCGTGGTGCTGGTGCCTTACGTTTCAAGCGAAAGCATGCCCTCAGGAATTGTGTCGGATGCGCGGTACGTACCAACCCTGAGGCCAAATGCTCACCCGCCAGCTGCTCACCGACGAAGCATGGTCCATGGAGATTTGGAGGATGCTCTGCTCCTGCACTTCGTCAGTGGCGGTGAGCTCGACCCCTGAGCTCACTGCTTAACGGTTAAGGGTGCTATTGCTTTTCAAAAGATGTTAAGGTTGCATCAAAAGCATCAAAGCAGGAGGCTATATACGATTAATTGTTCATGTGGATCTAGCCTGACTTCTTTAGCCGAGAGCTTGACAAAGTACAAAAGGGGATGAGATGAGATCGTCAGGCCGATGAGTGGATAAATACACTATTGCAGCAAAAGAGAGAGATCTGAACATGATCTGCTTCTTCTTTCCTTTTTGTTTCTTTCCTTGCGGAGGTAGACAGACAATTAGGGAGCCAACTTTTGCTCCTATTTTTCTAAGGGCGGACATGTTGAGTGAAGTTCATCATGGTAATAATAAAGTATAATGTAAGGGAAATGCTAGCGCACGGACGTCGATCGGGATGAATTCCATCGAACACCCACCAGCACGCCTGACAAGTCCTCGCCTCGTCGCCTGACCCGCCCCCATCCGCGCACCCCACCCCCATCCTCATCCGTTCGCCCCATCCCCATCTCCATCTGTTCGCGCGCCCCCGCAGGCGCACCCCTGCCCCGTCGTGCCCCCGACCGCCGACCCCCAGCGCGCCGCACGCCACGTCCACCGCCACCGCTCACTATGCCCCATTCATCGCCCCCTGACTCTTCGAGCAGTAGGAAACACATGCAACATGAAACACTTCAATACAATATACGTCTGAAACAGATAAAACATATGAAATATACACTTTCAACATATGTGTGAAAACATATGCAATATCCAGCTAGAACACTTGCAACTTGCAACATGAAAACACTTGCTGCAATAGAAGACTGAAACAGATGAAACATTTTGAAACATACTATTGCAACATATGTGTCAAAACATATGCAACATCCAGATCAAGACGCTTGCAACATACGTCTCGAAATAGATGAAACAAAAACGCTTGCAACATGGCTTTGAAACACTTGCAACATCCCCCAATCTACTTTTGCAATATCCATATGAAACGATTGTAACGTATCTCAAACGCATGAAACAATTGAAAAATACATTTGCAACATAGAGGGAAAGAGGCCTGGGCTGGTCGATTTTCGGCCGACGGGGTGGGAGCCGGCGGCGAGCGGCTGTGCACGAGCACCACCCAGCATCAGCACTAGCGGCGCGCGCGAGCACCACCACCGCTTGCGCCACCGGCACCGGGCTTGGTCGGCGGCGACAGTGGAGGATGGGGGGCGAGGAGCGCCATGGCGCCAGGGCAGGGGAAGCTCAGTCGCCGTGGTGAGAGAGGGCGCTGTCGGGGTGGGGAGGGCACCGCGCCGGGGTTGGGGAGAGCCACCCACTACCCTGCAACACCGCTGCGTCACCTCCATAGATATCATTCGTGCTCCATGGATCTCGCCGGGGTGGGGGAGACGGCCGCTGGATCTGCAGGCATTAGGGGCTCCCAGTGAGGACGTCGAGGTGCGGGAGGACGCCGGGCGTTGGTGCGTTGCGGCAGGGGATGAGGACCGCGGAAGGGGTAATGGGAGGAGGAAACGAAGTGATAATTTTTTTTAATATATACATACGGGTGGGACCGTGGGAGCAAGCGGCGGAGGTGAAAAGGCTGTTCAACGTTCGTGTGGTCCATCGGACGCACGGCACGTTGCATTTCCGATGATTAGGATCCCATGGGACCTCCTAATCAATACACAAAACACCAGGTACGCAACGATCTCGACAACCCATGATTGCCTGCTGATGTGTTCAGGATCAGCAGCAGCATTCTTTTTGCTGGGTGATAATGAACATCAGAAGGAACAGAAAGCAAAAGAAAGGTGTTTGTGGAGAATGACAAAACAGTGCTCCACTGATATCCATATTCCTTTCTAGAAACAGAACGAGTGTCATCACAATGATGAGCAAGTTACAGTGCGTGTGTGTTTTCTGTCGAAACCTGTGTCAGTAATTAATTCTTTCACCGCTGATACAGGAGTAACACGACTAATCAGTCCTGTGACAGTCAGATGATCGCCGGCGGCGGCGTCTCCCAGACGTCGAACACATTCTCCTCGCTGTGCAGGGCGAAGAGGCGGTCGCCACCGATGGAGAAGTCGCAGATGGCGCCGCCTTGGCCGCCGCGCAACGTTGACGTCAGCACGTGGTCCGGTCCGCTGAACACCGAGACGGTGTCACCCGTCGACGCGAACAGCTGACCGCCGTACGTCGCGAGCTTCGGATAGCAAACCTCCTCGCTGACGAGCGCCTTCGTCTTCCCGCTCGTCGCCAGCTTGCTCCGCGACCGCCATCGCACGCCGCCGGCGCTGCTCCGGAGGTCGAGGAACCCGAGGTCATCGTACTGGTTGATGACGCACACCGACCTCCCGTCCTCCATCACGACGGCATGGACGGCGTGCTTGTCCTCGAGCGACGCCGGCGTGCCGACGTCGGACCACGACCAGACGACGCTCTTGTCCCTGAAATCGAGCAGGCTGATGAAGGAGGAGTCGGTCCGCGGGAACATGGTGGCCACCATGAGCGTGCCGGTGCCGTCGAGCCACTGGAGCCTGTCCGCGTCGCCCAGCGCGCAGCCGGGCGGCTCGTAGAAGAAATCAGCCTGCTCGCCCGTGTTCGCGTCCCAGACGCCGATGCCGTACTCGTTGAACCGGCCCTTGCAGCTCGCGAAGAAGCTGCACCCTCCGTCGTCAAAGGTCAGCGCGCCGGCGGTGAACGACCTGGGCTGGCGATCGTGCGCGACGCGGAAGCGGTGGCGCAGGCCGCCCGTGAGCGCGGAGAAGGCGGCCACGCCGCCGTCGTCGCCGAGCCGGCCGGGCCGCTCCCGCGCGGCGACGAGGAGCGTGGCCGCGTCCAGGTACGCCGCGTCGTTGACGGGCGCGTGGCCGGGGTAGTACACCGGGCGGCGCTCCTCGAGCATCCAGTTGTACACGCGCACGGCGCCGCCGTGCGCCACGCAGCAGCCGCCGTCGGGCGCCGCGCGGACGGCCGTGCCGTCCCCCGGCGCGCACCCGGGCACGGACGCCGCCAGCCGGAGGCGGTCGCCGTCGAAGTCGCCCAGGCGCGCGGCGCGGACGCGGTCCAGGAGGCCGTAGTAGAGCGCCTCGCGGTACAGCGTCGCCTCGGGGACGCCGCGGGGCACGTGGAGTCCGCCCGTGCGGAGCAGGTCCAGCAGCACCGCGAAGCATGCCGGGTCGCGGTCGATGAAGTACTCGGCCGCCGCGCTTCCGCCGCCGCCGCAGGCCGCATCGTCGTGGGAGGCGTTCCAGGAGGCGTCCAGCATGGCGCCGAGCATGGTGTCCCGCCCCGCGCTGGCGAGCGTGGCGGTCGTCGTCTCGAACACTCGCCCGCCAACGTTGAGGCGCACGCGGCCGCGCCCCGCCGCGGGGGTGCACATGGCCGATGATCGCGAGCAGGAAGCGTCACAGGTTAAAATTCGCGCGCGGCTGGCGGAGGCGCCGAGGCGGTGCGTGTGTGTTTTGCGCGCGGCGCACGGCCGTTATGTTGGAGACGAGCGGGAGGACCCGGCCACCCGGGTCTGGGAGCTGGCGTATATAACGGCGCGGCAGCAGGGCAGCCTCGTGCCCGACGTGCCGTGCCGGCTGGGACGGAGAAAAGGAGGCGCGGGCGCGGCAGGTCGTCCAGGAGGTCCAAGCGCGCGCGACTGAACCGAGAGGATTTGGTCGTCTCGCGCGAGACGTCACCCACCCCGCACGCGTCCACACCCCGGCGCTTGGTTCCGTTGACGCGAGACGGGAGTGGGACAGGGAGCGGCGTCCGGTGCTGGGGGACTCCGCCTCCGGCCCCGTGGTGGCCTGATGGGGCGGGCGCGGGACGACGGATTTGGTGGGGCGGCGGCGATCACTGGAGTGGGTTCGCCGGTTCGGGGTTGGGTGCGCAAGACAAGGGCGTTTCTCTCCTGGAGTGCGGGCGCGTGGCACGCAAATCTAGCGGGTTTTTTCGCCTGATGTCGCGATCCCGGGGCCTGTGCTCGCGAGTTTGGGGCTGGAACCGAAAGGAAGCGTACTGGTAGTGGATCAGAAAGTCCTGTGGATGGGTTGGGGGACGACAGTGGTGGACTGGGAGGTGTCGCGTTGCACTTGCACGCCCCAAAAGCGGCCGCTCCTGCTTCGGCTGCGGCGAAGATCTCGAACTACTCTCGAGCAGCACGACCCTGGGTATGCTCACTAGCTCCAAAAGTGCGGCAGCTGCAGCCTCGTTCAGTATACTAGCTAACTGAGCGCCCGTAACCAAGACAACTTAACAGCGGCAGGTAGGACGCTGGATTGAGCTTAAAGAGTGGAAATGCAAAAGGCAAAGACACCGGTTCTTGTGTAGTACTAGCGCAATTATATGCTAGTACCGCCTGGATTCTGAATTCGAGCTTCACAATACTGCGATGCAAAGGAATTGGTTAACCACGCTACGTCAGCTCATCTTCTTCGTCCTTACATCTTCTGGTGGGAGGTAAAATGATGGCACACAAATGGGAGGAATTGATGCCTCACTTCCGTTCCTGTCCGTAGATCCAAGTGAGATACGAGTATATTCAACAAGTGACCGAAGCGCGGACGTAAATCCCAGTGAGATATTCAACCAGTGACAAGAGGAAGGCGAAAATTTCTGCAGGAAAGCGATGGGTCGGGCGAAGCAGCAGGAGGACGGCGATCGAGCTGGCGTCGCAGCGCATTCAGGTCTTTATCTTTAGTCGTCGGCTCTGGTAGTGCCGGGCTCGGATTACCTTCGCGTCATTCCTTTCTTTGAAGAAAGAAACGCACGCGTTCTTATCGGTTTGACGAGTGCACACGCGCCGCAGGGCCCCTGGCGGCCTCCGGCCGTGCATGGTGCGAAATTAAAGGGAACGGCGGCGGCGGCCTAATCCCACTGCCTAATCTTGCACTCCATTTGACTCTGCTCTAAAACATGATCGAGACGACCACTACGAGACTGTATCTTGATTCTTGATATGAATCTGTGGTCTGTGTCTCTGGTCGCGAAGGGTGTACAGTACAGGTTAAACTTAAACGGCTTTATTACGTGTTTTGCTGAGCAAATTTTAACAGAATCCCATGGAGAAAATTAGAGAGAGAGAGAGGGATGACCGTGATTTAGTTGACCACCTGGACGCATGTGACGCCATCGAGTTAGTCGATCGAAGTGTTTTGGACTTGTTGAACTGGTCGCCGTCCCTGATGCTTCGATGCAATGTGCCGTGCGGTGACCAAGTTGGGACATTTTTCTCCTCGTTTTTTAGGACCTGGTCGATCCTGTTTGTTGATCGTTGCTGATTGACTTGGTTAAAAATCAAAGGAAAAAAGAGCAATTTAACGGGGCTGGTGCAGACTGACAGAATCATACTCGTTCCACTTATCTATTAGGGCCCGTTTGTCATTGTAATTGATTTTATTCTAATAATTACACTTTATACGTAGATTAATCAAGCTAATATAGTTATATATGAAATATATTTGTATATTTATTGTTAGACATACGAGGGATTGCATTTCTATGGTAGAGAAGTGAGTTGAAAAGTATGTTATAAGTTGGAGAATAGAATTATAACATAATGATCTATAGAATCATTTCCATCTCCCACCTTATGAATTTGAGATAGACTTATCTGTGAGCTCGAGAATATTATGGAATATCAAATTCCAAACAAATAATCTAATTTATTAAGTAGATTTTAATTCCTCTAAAATAAAAGGATTTAAACGGACCCTAAGTGTTATTAGGCAGTGTTTGCAACTTTGCATTCTCTCGACGAACCGCCTGTGTTGAGGAGACCAGCCCAACGTATTTAGGACTAGCTAATTCATATTCCACGGTGGAGGAAAGCGACAAGCAAACCCTACACCAAAGGTTCTTCGGTTTTCTTCTGAATCAGGGGCGTCTGCAGCTACGAACTACGATCACCCGATCAAGTGGCTCAGCTGGGCATCTTCCTACCCGCCGCAGAACCTGCCTGGGATAACCCGCACTCACTCCCAGGACGCTTATATGCAACTTCCTTTCTGAAGGTTGCAGGCATTTGCAGCTCTTTGATGGAAATGTAAAATATTTAATCTTGTTACACATTTTTTTAGTCGAGGTACCTACTACTCTCTCCGTTCCTCCGTTCCAAGTCGTTTTGACTTTTTTTCATACATCTAAACAAATTTGCTATGTTATCCCTCTGTACTCGCAGTTTGTAGATGCCGCTCTTGGCCTGTCATAACCAATACGAATGTAAGTAAATGTATAAATATAAAATGTTGCTATTCAGTAACAAAAGATTGCAAGGGCTGCAGAGGCCAAGCTGCAGATTACAAGAGCAGTTAGCATGCAGCAGAGAAACAAGCCCAACTTGAAAACCAGGCCAACATCCTTGTCAAAAAGGTACATTTGCTGCAAAATCCACTGCTGATTATAATAAATAGAACATCAATAAGCTACAACACAACACCACCCGACAACACGATGTCATGGGCCTCACAGCGAGCATAGGGTTCATTCCGCTTAAGGCTCAGCACCAATGCACCATGGATCTTACCACAACGAACACATGTTACTCCTAACATTACACAGCTATAGCAAATGTTGCTTCCACACCTAACTACTAGAGACCAATCAGACGAAATTTCGAGTTAACACTCAATAATACATGGTGCAGTGCCAATACCTCTGCCTAAAGGAACAAATCTAGGGAGCACATCCATTTACAAGAGTTCATCAGCGTTAATTTCAAGCCTTCCTTCTGCGCTTCTTTCCTGTAGAAGCATTTCCTGATGCCTCCTGCTCTATTTCAGCAGCCTTGACTTCTTTCTCCTTCCGCTTCTCTTTGTCAGCATCACTCTTCGCGGGAGTACCAGCATTTTTTGGTTTCCGACCTGGCCTAGCTTTTCCATCAGTGGACTTGCCTTCATCTTTTGAATCCTTGCCTTTGCTAATAGCCTCCTTAGGTTTGGTCGCACTCTTATCATCATCTTTAGGCAATTCATCCTTTGTCTCAGTTGATACACTAGCTTTGCCCTTGGAGCTCTTCTCAAGTTCCTTTTTAAGGTTGGGGCCAGTTTTAGGTGTTTCTTTGGCATCCTTGCCGGCAGTTTTCCCCTTTGTGCTCGGAGTAGCTGAGTTACTAGGTGTCCCATTGCTGGATCGCACACCTTTTGGACGTCCTCTTTTCTTTGGAGGATCCACAGCATCACTGCAACCATGCAGAAAACAGTAGTCTCAGAAAAGCTACAGGCATGAGTCATCGTGACTTATTTGTATCAATTACTTACCTTTTAGGTGTTTCTGTATTTTCTTCCTTCACCGCATCCGCTTTTCTTTTCCTGCCTCGTGGCCTGTTGAAACAAACAATAACACAAACTTAACAAAACCACTTATCGAGAGGCATGAGATTATGCTTGGAATTCAGATAAATAGCCAATTATCAATTGCCAGCAGGGGCTTATGCAGTTTGACTAGTTTACAACAAACATTTCCATCGTATTTCTTTCAGAAAAAACAAACAATTTCCAGACTAAGAGATGGAACTTGACAAACATTATGCTATTTCGAACAGCTGTGGAGTGATCATAGCAAACCAAGAAACCAAAACCAATGCTCGGTACTGATTGACACTTGACACAATGGCAAGCCAAGCATTTGAAAAATTAAGGGGGTGTTTGGTTCGAGCTACTAAATTTTAGTAGCTACTAAACGGTTTAGTCACTTTTAGTAACTCCAGAGTTACTAGAGAGGACTAAAGCTCTTTTAGTAGCTTTTAGTCATAGCGTTTGGTTGAAAAGTTACTAAAGTGACTAAAAGCTACTAAATTTAGTAGCTACTAGACGAACCAAACAGGCCCTAAGAAAGCAGGGAGAAAACTACGCATGTATCACACTGAAAGCAGAGAATCACACTACTTCACCAAAACCCAGACCTTTAACTATTCAGGAGATCAAGTTTATGAGCGTCCACACATGCAGATGCAGGTGAGCAAAAATATTAGCAGCAAGGCATTAAACACTGAGACAGTGACCCTATTCTCGTAAGGGCAAGTAAACAGTGACCCTGTGCATTGCATATTCTTATAATACAATATGGGAACTAGTTCTACTGTCGGCTGATGCATGAACAAATATCCAAATTTGAAGTTGTAGTTAATGACACAGATATAGCTGTAATTTTGACATTGCAAATGCAAAAATAGCACAAAAATGAGTTTGCTTACGTTTCAGATGCCACAGAAGCTCCCTTCTCCTGTCAGAGTAAAAGTAAATCAGAAACAAGGAATCAGTACGAAATTATAAAATCATCATGAGGTGAAATGTGCATACCTCACTGATGAATTCCCACTTTTCATCCCTCAGCAGTAGTACCTCTACATCCCCATCATCATATGCGACCTAGGCTCCAGAAAGGGAAGAG